ATATGGCGGTCATACTGTTTTAAGGGTTTCTATCAAGTGGTGAACCTTCATTAAGTGGTCAACTTGCTATTTCTAGGTTTATTTTGGTTTGACTGTAAACCATTTTCACGATGGCCTTATTTAACCACAACTAAAGCCTCGAGCAAACCGACGCAACGTTATTAGCCAACATCTCTCAACATTGTTGGGAGTTGTTGTGTCCGGTTGCACGTAGCTAAAAGTTTGACCGGTTTCAAACTTTGCGCAATAATTCCCAACAACACTCAATAACATGCAACAGGGTGTGCAAACGGGCGCAACATGCTGGGAGTGGTTGCGTCCATTTGCGCGTAGTTTAAGAAGGACGCTTTTAGGACCGCCAATAAGTCCCCGTCTATGTGCGTCTTATAGAGATTGAAATAAAGGTAGTGAAGAAAGGCAGGGACCAACTCTAGATGTCCGTCTTATAGAGGTGTCCGTTAAGAAAGAATTGACTTAATTACGACAGTTGTCTTGTATTATGGAGGTAACCAGGTTGATAATGTTTGTCGTTTGCTTCTCTTGTTTCAGGAATGTGACAATACAAAGCTTCAAAAGGACTCGCCCTACATGTTATTCTATCAACAGGACGATCTAGAGGAAGGAATGTTTCTTCCCAACTTCAATGGTCAAACGCCTGACTCAGCCAGCGATGACGAAGAATATGAGAACGAAGTGCGTAGACTGTGCGTCGTTCAATGAAGATCCTTGGAGCCGGGGACGGGGGAAGAATCTTATAATTTATACACATTTTTTGTATTGAAATCTTCATTCAATGAATAGTTACGCGAGCGTAAATTATCAGAAATGTTGTAAATATATCGACACGGAGAATTTTATTTTTAAATGCCTTTAATGCAGATGATGAAATTATTGCAACAGTGCGTACAGGGTCGCGCTTCCTGTACAAGTAAAATTTAGAGTTGAGAGATGAGAGACTGGCAAACGGGACCAAAATGCGACTGAGTAGGGAGAGGACGTGTTTGTCGCCTCAGCCTCCCCTCCCTCATTGTCTTTAGCCCTTTACCTTGGTCTTACAGGGGGTACCCCATTTCGTACTCTCTCTGACAAGTATTTGTGTTCCGTGTGCTTTTTGTCCGTCATTTTTGTGTAAACATTTTGTTGTTTATTGTCTTTATTCCTCATACTATGAGGAAGATATGGTCCCTTTAAAGTACTTTAGTAATTTGTACTGTGAAAGATGAGGACTTCGCGCGCGAAGTTGCTGTACTTAGAAATATGCAAATCAGAATGGTGTCACGGTATTCTATGCGATCCAGGTACTTCTATTCTTGTTATTGTTGCTTCTTTTGATGTTTTTTCTTTTTGCGCAACAAAACGTTCTCTTATGAGCTGTCGTTTAAGAAGGTGCCTTTTTTTTTTGTCTCGGCAGCTCATTTGGGGAAAGTTTGCTGCGGGTCCCTCTCCTAACATTCGTATTTAATTATTCCATGTTTATTCCGGCGTGATAAGCGATGACAATCTATTTCAATTGATAATAATCGATAGTAAAGTTTGTATTGAACTAGGGGCTCTGAATTAATTGTTGTCAATGTTGTTAAAAACAAACATTGTAAATTGAGCGCCCTATATTCAACATAAAAAAACTGACAACAATATACAATATTCCTAATTCAGCACGAAAGAGTTGGAAAAATAATGCGAAAAATCCAAGTCGTGGATCGAAAACAGATTGAAAGAGAGTGTAAATTTATGTGGCCCATGCTAGCCGGGCCGGTAGGAACGCCTGAAGTACTGTGAAAATTTCCGCGTTATTTTCAAGTGTACGCCACGCGCAAATTCTGCAGTTATTTCAGGCTGAGATTGTTAAGATTATCGAAGTAGTAACCAACGACCTTATAGTGGAATTATTCCCTTCTCTTGTTTCACCACCGTGACATCAAGTGTCCAACTGCCTTGCAGAAAAAAAAAATTACATCTAGTGAAGCCAATTCTTGATAACACATCCAGTCCATACTTAAATGGTCTCCTCTTTTGAACCGCGAAGATTCGTCGCCTACATACTTACTCTTGACATTTTTTTGTATTCTTTGTACTGATTGAAAGAACTTGTTTTACTTTGGGGAAGAATGGGAAGTGAATAAAGTTCACTTTAATATATCTTACTGGTACTTTGTATTTGTACCCATTTTGTGTGGCCTTTCTTGGTTAGAGTTTGTCAAGATTATTTGGTAGCGTCACGACCTTTACCCTTCTCTTCATTTATAAAGTTAACGCTGTTTGTTTGGGTGATGGGTGATGAAGAACCTTTTCCTCCATTCGAGTTTCTTGATTTTCAGTTATAAAAGTAACCAGCCAGTTTCATTTCTATTTGAGCAGCAGAACGAACAAGCAAGGATCAGTTTGTTTCCTAGTTCGTTTCGTCGAGGTCCTTGAATCCTCACCTGTTGTGTAGAGCCCAAGTCTCTGGGCTTTATAGCCAATTTTATAATAGGGAAATTACTGTGTTTGTATGAGAATCTTATGTCGAAAAACGCCTGTTCTGAAAGAAAAAAAAATGAATTGTAGACTAAAGCTTCACTCCTAACGATTCAACTGAAAAAGATTTGAGGGCGTTACATGCAGCTGCTTGCGCTAGAGCCTTTTTTAAACATTTTCCAACATTTGTCTGTAAAAATTTCTTCTTCCTGCCGACTAGACAAGGTCTATTTTGCAAGTAATTGTTTGTGTTTGCTGTTATGTTGTTTTCCCTTTATTGATTCTTTTTCTTTTGCATGGTCTAAGTGTTGGTAACAACGATGAAATGTCAAAAGAACTATTCCCGAGTGCACGTAGAAAGTTGCACTTCAGCCCTCATTCGAGAAGCCCTGGAAACGAGCTCAGCTTCAGCTAGTAAACAATGGCGGAAAATTTCACACTATTTGCGATCGAAGAAGAAATTGGCGTACAAATGCCAAAAACTCGGTGAAAAGAGCAAAAATACAACTCGACGAATGACAACTGCTATTTGAAGAATATGTAGTAGACTAATAATCCCTTAAATACAAGGTAAATCGACGTCTGAATAATTTCCATACATCATTACATGACTTACATGCACATATAAAATTATTCAGATGTATTGGGTCACGTTTCCTCTGTGAGGTTTAGCATAGACCATAAGAACTTATTTGGTTAATTGCTACGCTATTTGTTTTTCTTTGCCCCTCGTTTTATTATTTGTGAAAGGCGTTTCACTTTAACTTCTCAAACTCATTAATAATTCATTAAGAAAATACAAAGGAAGTTAATGTTGAATGAGTGTTTGGAAATCGGATGAAACACTGCTTAGTATTTGCATCCTTAATTTCTCCTTCAAAAATGATTTTGTTTGAGAAGAAATATCAAACATTGGACACAGTGTTTCATCACCAGATGAAACACCTCGAAGTTCGTCAAAAATACTCCGCTGCGCGTCGTATTTTCAACTCTCTTCTCGGTGTTTCATCTGGTGATGAAACACTGCATCTCATGTTTGATATATTACTTGAAAAATGAATTTTAGCTTGAAAGTCTGGTTGGTTGGTAACATAACTCGTCGTTTTACCTAACTTTAAACTCACAGCCGGCTGTACTTGCTGAAATTTAAGTTGCATGCGGCTTTGCCTTCATTAATAGCAGCTGTTATAATAATATTTCATAATTATTCCTCGGTCAAATAACTTTTAAGTTTTCCGGTTTGACTCTTTAGGAGGTTTATTTGTTTTCTTAAGGAAGTCCTGCCTGATGTTCTAAGATTCAAATACCGCGTTCGATGGAAGATCATCGTACAGGGGTCGGAAAAAACTCGGGGACGAAAACTGCATTTTTTGTAAATTTTCTTTGTGCACTAGTTTTTTGTTTGTTTCTTCCACTTTCTAGCTACTTTCTTAGCGACATTATGTGTAAGCTATACCCAACGACTTTACTGTTTTCTATACTATTCGGAGAAGCTAATAATTTCTAGGTGACCATTCCATTCATGTACAATTTTCGAAGTTTATCTAATAAATTCCCTGCGATTTTTGAAGTTTTATTTTTTACATTTCATTGCCCAGGTTAGGATATTTTTCGTACAAAAGAAACCTAAAATTTTCGGATTCAAAAATGTGATGGAGAGACGAATCAAAACAATTTTTCACTTTCGTAATGCGCTAAATTGCATCTGAAATTTTCGGGGAAATAATACCGAAGCCCTTACAATTTCGAAAAGACTTGAGTTCCCCTGGAATGACCGAACAGATACAAATTTTATAGCTCCACTTAGAACGCAGCAGGCGCTTGGAAGTAGTGGGAGAAAAAGAGAACGAGCGCGCCCGAGGGAGACACGCGCCCGTTTTTTCTTGTGCCCACTATCTCCAAGCGCCTGCTACGCAGGCTATAAGAATTACTCTGGATAGTCTAAAAAAGTGTTTTCAACGCACTCGGTAGCAAACTGTCCTTGGGTGCTCCTGAGGAATACAGTGGAAGCTGCAGACCAGTTTACACCGCCGGAAAATGTAGCCTCAGCTCGTAGGAACTTAAGTTTTCTCCATATGTTTTACATATTAAACATTTTACGTAGTTTCTTCAAAACTGCCTCGATGTCAGTTTTTTGGGCGGCAGTGTCTCAAGTGAATCCTCGACCTTAGAATAAAAACGCAAATGAGCCACCAACTTCATTGATCGATGTTATTTAAGTTTTCCTCATCTGTTTTGCACAATATTTTTCGACGTATCTTCAAGACTGCTCTCCGGATTTCCCGATTACGCCAAATATACAAGAATGGATTTATAGCGGAGTTCATGAACATAAAAGTGTCAGCAAAATACCATCTGATGTTCCAATGTTCTTTATAAGTCACCCAAATTAGGGAGGAGACAGCCCATGGAAAATAACAAAGAAGCATACAAATGTAATATATAAATGAGTTTACAGCACGTTTCTTCGCTTGTATCTTGCAGTTTTGTTCCGCGTTCATACTCTGTACGGCTTGCTGTTGGGCGTGCATCTGATGTTGATGGTGTCGAACGATTCGGTAAATTGCACAGTAAGTAATTGCAGAAATTAAAAGACATAAGGCAACAAAGACAATTCCAACAAGAAGAATAGCATTTGTCTTCCAAATGATAAGCAGTGATAAAATGAAGTTTTCACACCAAAATGTTGCTGCAACGTACATTGCACGTTTAAAGGTCATCAAATTCGGATATCGCATGTGATATCGTAGGGCCAAATATCGATCCACGCTGATGGCTGTCATTGTGTCGAGGGAAACACCGCAGAGTTGAATAATGAGGAAGGTCCTTGCTTGTGACAGACGTAAGTAAGAACTGCTCCGAGAAAGCGGTGTAAGGGCGATGGCAATGTTAACTGGAAGAACAAGAAACCCAACAAAAAGATCAGAAACAGCAAGACTGCACAGCAAAATGGTAGACGGAGTGCGTAGGGAAGGATTTCTCCATACGGCGGCTAGTACCAAAACATTGCCAGCGATGCATATTGGTATCAGCAGAGCATTGAGGACACTATTTATGATTACAGAGGTCTCGAAAGGTGAGGATTCTTCGTCACTCTCCAACCCGTCAAGCATCATATCGACAGTAGAGTTTGCCATCTTAAAATTTTCAATATTGTCAAATGTTTCTCTTCAAAGAGAAACTGCATATTATTTTTTATAGTTTCACCTGGCATCTTATTAAAATTATAACCACCTTGCCAGCATTTAATTCTTTAACTTATGTCCAATAGGGCTTTTCATTTAGTAGAAGTATACGTGTCCATCTTTTAAAATAGAATTGGTGATGAACGGTACCAATTAAGTCAGCGCCCATTTTCTATTTCACCAACAGGTGTGCACCACACTTGGTCAAACTTGCAAATATATTACGCTTATCAAGTAATTAATTGCTTTAACCCCGTCACTTCGATTCCATAAACAGAAAGGACATAAAATTAGAAGAAAAGCTTCTTCTTTTCCCACTCCTATAATTTTTCCCAAATAACTAATAAACAATTTTAACCCAAATAACCCCACACAGCAGGGAAGCATTGGAAGACAGCTGCTTCAGTCATGCATACTTGTTTATTTGGCCTTTTCTTTTCGTATTTTTTGGCTGACAAGATAAAATTGTAAATCCTACTTTTACAAACAGCAAGTCCGGCCATTCTTCACGTCGTTCTTATAGCGATCTTCAAAAGTTTCTTCGCCGTCAGGTTTATCTCAACCGTCAACCCAATTCGCAGAAAAAAAAATGGCGGAGGAAAATTTAGGAAGGGTCCCACTTGATTTGAGACACCCTTGCTTGAAAGCCCCCCCCAACCCCTCCCCCCATCCGCATTAGTTTAAATAAGCCCCCAACCTCGTTCTCAAGAGAAAGGAAAAGAGCAATAGAGTGAGAGAGCCTGGGACTTGGATGAAATGCTGCATCTTTATCCCTCATATCATAGAGCTACTTGGCGGAAAAGAAAAAAAAAACCTTCAATTAATTAGTAAACAGCTACCAAATATAACCTTTCAGAGGTTCATTTGTCTGTAAAAATTTCTTCTTCCTGCCGACTAAAATTCCCTGGGAAGAATTGCAGACAAATATATGGAAAATCTAAAGCAAGCGCCTGGAGAAATTTAAGCACAGTTAAGTTCCGCGAAATTTGTTAGTAAAATCCTTTGCTGTGTAGCTTTAGTTTACAATTCATATTTTTTTCAGAACAGCCGTTTTACGGAAATTATCCTTCATTAGATTGTCATACAAACACTGCAATTTCTCACGCGGTTGCCTAACTCGTCAAGATGGCTCAGGGGCACCCAACGACAATTTTCGGAAAATATCTGGTCGGAAGACGATTTGAGGTCTAGAATTTTCCGAACATTTGTTGTAAAATTTCTTGCTTGCCTGCATCTCCTAGGATTTTCGAACATCTAAAAATTGGTATAATTGCCCATTTTTAACGGATTTTACCCTTAAAAGATCACCTAGAATTTTCGGGAGCCTTTTTTCTGCTGAAATTTTCGAAAAGGTAAGTTTTGATCCCTATAATTTTCGGATCACTAGACTTTCAGCTGGGACATCCGGACAGATGAAAAATTTTAGGAGATAAAAATATGCCTATATCTACCGTTTAAATACTAAAATACGTTTAACAATGCTATGTTTAAGTGGTTTTGAACTATATTCTCGTCGGGTGCCCGTGATGGCTTCCAAAACCATGACAAAGTCTATTTTACAACTAATTGCTTGTGTTTACTGTTGCGTTGTTTTCTCTTTATGACTAATTTCATACCGAGCGGGGGTCTGGCACTACCGTATTTTGCCGGACTTTTTTATCAAGTCAGATTTCATGATGGCGGCGAATGGCACGGAGGTGCGCCTCGTACAGGTTGGCACTGGTCTTGTGCTAGTACCTTCGGCAAAAACCCGTGAAAAACTCCAAATGTCGAGTACTATACATTAACTAAAGTTGGTTCAGTACCAAAAACGGTACAGGATGCCTATTTGAAAGTCCTAGGAAAGCGGAAAGAAGATGTAAATTTCAAGAAGCAGGTCATCTGCTCAATGCACTGTTTAGAGGACTTGCCAAGCGTCAAATTTACTGAGGTAGGCAACTAAGAGTCCCGGGAAGTCAAGCAAGAGCACTGGAATTGCGCTGCTACGTTCTGCACTAATTCCTGGCGCACTAAAAACAAACAGTTGAAGTATTACAGATTGAAAGAAATCGCAAAGTGCCTCGAGAAACGGCGTGAGTACAGTAAAATTCTGAAAAACAAAGGAACTGACTTCGGTCATGGTTTCATTTTCTCTGCTCATTGGAGTAAAGGACAGCGTGAGAATATTGATGATCTTCCGGATTTACCCTGTGCACCCGAATTTGTTGAGAAAAAAGCAACAAAAAAGACTACTCCAGTCAGGAGTCTGCCAAGCGTTGTTTACAACAACAGTCAAAGGGTAGCGAGGCAAAGAAAAGGAGGGTTCTCTCATATAGCAGCCGTGATGAGCGTTCCAACAGTGACATTTTGATGAAGGAAATAGATGATCTCCTAGAACAGCTAAGATCAAAGACTAATGAAGTAAATCAATTAAGTGATCCGGTCAAAACCTTGAAAATGCAAAATGAAACATATCAGTCTCAGCTGCAAAAATTTGCTCACACGACTGAAAAAACTACGTTTTCCTACAAATGCTTGACTGGACTATGTGTTGAAAACTTTGATTGTCTGTTTGCTTGTGTTGATCCCTACATTTCTGCCATAATTTATCCTAATTGTAAAACTCATCAACAGAGAAAGTTGACAAAAAGAACTGAGTTGATGTGCTTTATGACAATATGTAGACATACACTTCACCTAGGTATTACTGGGTACATGTCAGGCACCAGTGTATCAACTCAATCTAGAATCTTTACAGCATGGGCTGTTTTTCTCTCAACCCTGTTTGATCAATTAGACTTGAGTCCCTGCCCCCGGAGAGGTTCTTTCTCCTCTACCTCTGGAATTTTATGCATCTGGCTTCCAGGACACAGTGTTGCTCGGAGACTGCACAGAGAACTGGATTGCTTCACCAGAAAACTTTGACATCAGCAATGCAACATTCAGTTCATACAAAAACCATGACACTGGCAAAACTGGAATTTGGATAACACTATATGGCAGTCTTGTCATGTGCACTGACACTTATGCTGGGTCAATTTCTGATAACGATTTAACAGCTGACTGTGGGGTACTTGATATGATACAAGATGAGAGGGCCACAGCGCTGACAGATAAGCGGTTTGGAATTGAAGACTTGTGTCATGCCAAAGGCCTTTCACATAATCATCCTCCAATGAAATTTGAGGCGCAGTTCGAGGAGACAGACATAGCAAAAAAATTTGATGTGGCCACCCTACGGATCTACAATGAAAACTACATTGGACGCATGCGGGATTGGTCAATTTTGAATACTTGCTGGCCCAAGAACAGGATTGACATTCTAAGATGTGTATACAAAGTGCTGGCTAATATTGTAAACATCTTATTTGACCCTATCTGTGCTAAAGAGGCAACTACCCAATCAAAGTCAAGAGAATTGTCTCATGGTGCAACAACACCACTTTCATTTTTGATATAACAGTTCCAAAAGCTAACATTTCATTGACAGTGAGCTTGATACAAAGGGCTATAATCTGTCAAGTAACTTATAACCTGTCAATTTTCTTCTATATGTACTTCAGAGAGTTAAGGTACAATGCATGTGTAATTTTTTATCGGGTTAATTCCACAAAATATCTTTGCCCTACATATTGAAAACATTTTTCAACCTCCTCCAATGGTCTAGTCTACCTACACTATTGAAACAATAATAAATTATTGTTTTAAAAACTTACAGGCCTAATTACTTTTGCTTGTGAGTTTACCCAGGACTACCAGATTTTTCCAGACTTTTTGAAGCCCAGTTTCAAAATAACAGACACTCAGACAAAGCATGTTTCTTTTGAACAAGTATTTATTGATATTCAATCGGAGAATCTAGACAAGCTAAGCAAAGAAAGGTTACAGTATTATTGCAATGCCCTAAAACTAAAAGTATCTGGTGACAAGAAAGAACTTACACAAAGATTAGAGCCACTAGCCAAGTGTGAGAAGTTGTTTACAAAAAAGGTCACAGGAATAACTGATAACCTAATTTCACCTCCATCTGCTATTTGAAAAGTCATTGGTAAGAACAAAGATGTAGCCGTACCTTTATTTTTGTGATGGAGAGCACCATATCTTTGCCCTGCATATGGAAAACATTTTTCAACCTCCCCCAATGCTCTATGCTCTAGTCTACCTACACTACGTTTACTCCTTGGGATGTACAGTAGATGAAACACCCTTATTTTTTTAAAAACTTACAGGCCTAATTAATTTTGCTTGTGAGTTTACTCAGGACCTGAGGTGCCGCGTATTTTCAAAAGTAGGCACTGAGCCTTCAAGCTTTTTTCCAAGTTGCACAAGGCTTGGATGTTCAAAATGTGCCCAAAGGCAAAAAAGTTCAGCTAGGTGAG